AGTAGGGGCTGAGTCTTGAATGCCTTTGACCTCCCACTGGGAGTGAGTAACACTCCCAAATACTTACTGTCCTCCTCTTCTGTCTCTAATCTCCCTCTGCTTCACGCTTAGAAGGACCTGTCATTGGATTTATGGCTCACCTGAGTAATCCAGGATGATCTCATCTTGAAATCCTGAAGTTAATTGCAACTGCAGAGATTTTCCCCCCAAATAAGGGCACATTTACAGGGGGATAGAACATAGACATATCTTTTGGAGACCACTATCAACTCCCCTCAGATGTGAATTATGGAAATGGTATGACATGGTTGCTGGCTTCAAGAAGATTGTGATGGGGTTGAGGAGATAAGGCATACTGTTCAGAGACTGTTCTACGGGGTTCACTTACATTCCTCCATGTCTTGAAAGCAAGGCACTGACTGTTCTTTGTTATCTTTACAAGGATAATTATATAGCAAACAGCCTTGGAAGAGAGAGATGGTGTCCCTCTTCAGACACATTTACTTCCCATTATTAAAAATTTGATTCACCTCGCCTTGAGCACTGTTGATGGGAATGTAAATGGTGCAGCTGCTATGGAAAACATTATGGCAATTCCTAAAAATATTAAAAATATAATTACCACATGACCAGCAATGCCACTTCTGTCTATTTACCCAAAATAATTGAAAGCAGGGTTACAGACATATATTTATACAACTATGCTCATGGAAGAATCCTATATAATAAAGATGTAATATGCAACTTAACGACTGATCATGGATCAGCAGGAGGTGGGGCATCGAGCTACAAGCAGGCAGCAGAGAGCTACAGAAGGGGGCAGGGCAGCAAGCTATGGGTGGGAGCAGGAAGGAGGAGGATGAAGTGGGAGGAGCTACAGGAGGGTGGGGCAACGGGGTGAGAGCTACTGGAAGGTGGCATTGAGCTACTGCTTCACAGATTTGTGTGCAGGGCTACTAGTTATTCATAATTGCCAAGAGGTGGAAGCAACCCAAGTGCCCATTGATGGATGAATGGATAAACAAAATGCAGTATTTACATACAATAGAATCATATTGTTCAACCTTAAAAGGGAAGAAAATTCTGACACATGCTACAACATACATGAACCTTGAGGACACTCTGCTAGGGGAAATAAGCCAATCACAAAAGGACAAATACTCTATGATTAAATTTATATAAAGTACTTAGAGTAGTCAAAATTGATAGGGCCAGAAAGTAGAACAGTGGTTCTTGGGGCTGGGGGGAAGGAAAAATAGGAATTGCTTATCCATATAGTTTCAGTTTTTCTATTTTTTTAAATCTTTTTATTTTTAAATATATTTTTATTTATTTCAGAGAGGAAGTGGAAGGGAGAAAGAGATAGAAACATCAATGATGAGAAAGAATCACCGATTGGCCACATCCTGTACACTTCACATTGGGGATCGAACCCACAACTCAGGCATGTGCCCTTGACTGGAATCAAACCCGGGACCCATTCAGTCCACAGGCTGAAGCTCTATCCGCTGAGCTATGCTGGCCACACTAGTTTCAGTTTTTCAAGATGAAAAAACTGTAAAGATTGGTTACATGACAACATGAATATACTTAACACTACTGAATTACAGACTTAGAAATAGTTAAGATGGTAAATTTTATGTGTATTTTACTGTCACTTTTTAGAAAGCAAAAAATATCATAGTCTAAATAAAAGAAGATCAATTATACAACTATGGTCCTATATCTGTAACAGCAGATGAGTCAGGTAGATAAGAAATTCCCAAGGGAATTTTAGCACACTGATAGCTACTCTAAAGTACTCTCTTTCCCTAAGTAAATCTTGGATCTAAGAGTCTGAAAGATGCCACTTGGTTCCAATCCCCCAAATTTTGGAAGTAAACCAAGAAAAGAAGCAAATATTTTAGAAGCATAGTGAGTTTCTATACATGACAATAGGATTTAGGATTATCTCCAGGTCACTTGCAAACTTTGTCCTCCTTCAAATTATTAATAATTACAAACATTTACTAGTATATTATATTAGAGGCCTGGTGCACAAATTCGTGCATGGGTAGGATCCAGCCAGTCCGCCCTGATCAGGGCTGATTGGAGCTGGCAGGGGGGATGGGATGCGGGAGGTTGTCCAGCCAGGGGGAGGGGCTGAGAGAGGTTGGCTGGCTGCCGCTGCCCCTGATTGGGCCAGTTGGCTGGACACAGTGAGTGTCATAGCAATGGATGTTCTGGTCATTCCAGTCGTTCTGGTTACTTGGCTTTCATATATATAGACTAGAGGCCTGGTGCACATATTCATGCACCAATAGAGTCCCTCGGCCTGGCCTGCACCTTCTCATACTCTGGGAGCCCTTGGGGGATGTCAGATAGCCAGTTTTGGCCTGATTCCCACAGGCCCGATCCAGACAGGAGGAAGCCTGATCTTGTCCCCTGGTGGTCAGTGTGCATCATAGAGACCAGTTGACTGGTCATTCAGTCATTTGGTCAGTGGGTTGCTTAGGCTTTTATACATATTCTAGAGGCCCATTGCATGAAGAGATTCGTGCAATAGGCCTTCCTTTCCTTGGCTTCCAGCGCCGGTTTTCCTCTGGCACATGGAACCCAGGCCTTTGCTCTGGCCAGAGTCTGCCACCTTTGCTGCAAACTCCAGCCAGAGTCTGCCTTCTTCATCTTCGCTGCCAATTCAGGCCAGAGCCCACTGTCTTCATCTTCATTGCAGACTCCAGTGGGAGTTTGCCATCTTCATCTTTGCTGCAGACTCTGGAGTCTGCAGTCTTCATCTTTACTGTAGCTAGAGTGTCGCTCCTGTAGATCCCTTCACCCTCCCACTCTCCCTCTCATAGCAGGTGTCCTGCCCTGCCCAGCCACTTGGAGCCTGGAGCAGCTGGGTGGCCACCATCTTTGTCCTATTTTGCATATTCTCTCCTGATTGGCTGGTGGGCGTAGCAGAGTGATGACTAATTTGCATATTTCTCTTTTATTAGTGTAAATATAGATAATACCTCAATCAAGTATGGAACAGACATCTGGAACAACTCTTCCATTCCAGGGAACAGATGTCCTCTCTCGTTGTTTTCTAGTGTTTAATTGGTTTTTGATGCTTTCATTTTATTTCTCTGAGATTATTTTTCTTATTGTTTTTGAGATATCCTTAGTCAAAGTTTCTTAAAAATTCAAATTAATGTATGTCTGCTATGTTTTCTTTGTATTTTAGAAATCTTTTATATTAAGAGAGAGAGGAAGAGGAAGAGAGAAAGAAAAGTATTGATGTTAGCAAAACACCTATCTACTACCTCCTCCTATCTCCCCTACTGGGAATTGAGCCTGAAACCCAGGCATGTGCCCTGACTAGAAATTGAATGGGAAACATTTGGGTGCATAGGACAATGCCCAACCGAGCCAAACCAGCCAGGGTTGCATTTTAGATATCTTTTAGAGACCCCTTCAGGTAGGCCATAGTGACTGATCTAATAGACTCAGTCAGGATCCTACTGGCTACTCAACCAGGTTACCGTTAACCCAATTCTTCATGTTTGCGGGAATAAGCTGCAGGAAATTCAGTGATCTATATTTGTCTTTATTCTAAAGTTTGAAGCCAGAGGCCACATGCAACTTCCTACCTCATAAATAGTTGCAATTGTGAAAAGCAGTATTGTATTACTTCAGGTTTTGGCCCCATTTTGCACTTCCTATGTTCAGAACCTCAACTGGCTTAACATCAGTCAGTCATAAAAAGCTGATGGACTTTGAAATTGCTCTGTAATTTTTGTCGTTAGCTACTTCTATTGCATTGCACTTTAAGGGCATAACGTCCCTTGTTGGGGGAAACGTCATAAAATGTTCCTAATACTTTGGGGGGGAGGGGAGTCAAGTGATTTTTAAAAGTCTAATTTCCCTCATGGCGTAATTTTTGATAATTATCTTTCCATTGCCTCTGTAAAACATTCTGAGACCTTGAACACCACTCAATACTGGAAAGCAAAGGAAGGGCTGCCTGTGTACAGATGGCAACAACAAATAGGAATCTGAACTTCACTTGCCTCTTATGTGGCAATTCATGGAGTACCTGTTTTTCCTCCTCCATTTACGGGAAGACATCGTTTTAACCTAAAGTGCCACGGATTTTTGCTTGGAGGTCTAGGTCAAGAACTTCACTTGGGGAAGCCCCACTGGGCTGCTTGAAACTGCCCAATCCCCTAGTCTAATTCCTCAGCGTCTGGACAGCATCCCCATTTCCCCCCAACAGGGTTGTTGTGGTCTGAGCCAACTGTCTTCGTCCAGCGAAAACAGGGGCTGCTCCAGAGCTTTTCTGTCAAGAGTTTAAAGATTTCGAGCCTGATTGGAACAGGTGGAAAGGCTGGAAGCCCAGTTTTGACTTTTTGATTTGCTACTGTATTGGAAATTTAGCTATAGATATATGGAATTTTTAAAAAAGTGTGCATGGGGGGGGGGACAATGAAAAGATATGTACACATATAATACCTTAATAAAATAAAATAAAATAAACCTGTGTATGGTGGGTGGTGCATGGGGAATGCTTCTGGAAATCTCTTGGCACGCCCGCTCCTGAGTCAAAAATCTCTGCAGTGGTTCAAAGCGCTCGCCAACATGTATCGATGTGAAATCGCATGGCCTGTGATCCAGAAAAATGAAGACTCGCAGGATTTGACATCTGCAGGTTGCGGCATTCAAAGACCAACAGGGGGCTGAGGTGCGGGACTGGCTTGGGTTCCAGGGCTCGTGCCTGGCGCCCCGCCTCCGATTCTCATCTCACAGCCCGCCGACCTCCCCCTCACCCGTTCCCGCGGTCCCCCCCTTCGCCCTCTGCCCCGGTGTCGGCCCAGAGCTGCGCGCGAACCCCAGGCCCGCCCCCGGCGCGGTGGGCGGGGCCCGGCCGGGCAGGGCGGGCGCGGTGGGCGGGGCCTGGCCGGGCGGGGCGAGGCGGCGCGCGCTGGGCTCGGGCTCCGGCGGGAGGCGGGCGGCACTAGAGGGAGCTGCTCGCGCCGCCGCGGCCGCCGCGCTGGCCCCCACGCTCGCTCGCGGCCCCTGGCGCCGCCTCCGCAGCCCGCGCCGCCGCGATGGCGGAGGACAGCGAGTCTGCAGCCAGCCAGCAGAGCCTGGAGCTGGACGACCAGGACACTTGCGGCATAGACGGGGACAATGAGGAGGAGGCCGAGCACGCCAAAGGGTAGGCGCGCGGGGGCCTCGGGCTCCGCTCGGCGGACCCGGGGCTTGGGGCGCGGGCGGTGCCGCTTCGCTCAGAGGGGGCGGGGGTCCCCGCGTGGGTGCGCCCGGCCCGAGGCCGCGGCGAGGGCGGGTCGCGCGGCCGGCGGCGCCGGGGCGCGGGGGAGGCGAGGCCCGCGGTGGGCGGGGAGGCCGGGGCCCGGCGCGGGTCGCGGCGACGCCGCTGTCACCTGCCACGCGGCCCCCGGCCCTCGCGCGTTCCCGCCGCCGGCCCGGCCCGGTGTGTGTGTGTGTGTGTGTGTGTGTGTGTGTGTGTGTGTATGTGTGTGTGACCGAGGGAGGTGCGGCCCCGTCCCTCTATGGCGGTCCGGTTGCCGGAGTCATCGTCGTTCTCTCTTCGCTCCGGATCCTCTCCCGAAGCCCTTCCAGACCCTCCACCCCTCCTCCAGCCGCCGCCGCCGGAATAAAAGGGGACCTGCCGGCCTGCGAGTGGTGCGGACCGGCCCCCGCGCCCCTGGCAGAAAGTTGTGTTTCCCCCGAGGCTCTCGCCCCGCGCCCCGCCGGGCAGGGGGCGCCGTGGGTCCCGGCCTGGCCGCCCGCAGGGCTGCCTCGCCGAGCGCGCCCGCAGACCTGGCTGCTCAGCTCCCCGGAGCAGGTCTCTCCCCGGAACTGGAGTCGGTCTTGGGGTCGGTTCTCCTCAGACCCAGCTTGTGGACAGGCTCGGTGCGTTTTCACACCTGCCCGGGTTTCTCCTGCCTCTTCACAGGGTCGCTTTCCTCCTCCCCACAAACTCGCTTTGCTCTCCGTGGGAGAGAGGATTGCTTCCGGTTAAGGGTGGTGTGGAAGTTCTCTTTTTAGCGGCGGGGGATCATTTTAAATAAAGACTGGCGTCCTTAAATGATGGGGTGTTTGCACTACCCTTTCCCCCTGCTGGATTCAAGCTATGCGCAGGCACGGAGGAACTCTTTCGTGCTGCCCCTTATAAGATTTTGTAAACTGGTGACCGATGAAGAAGCGGGTCAGCTTAAAACCATGATATGGGAGCCCGTAGTCGCAGATGGCTTATTTATTCAGTGCATGCAGAGGATTCTTTAAATGATTGGTGATGTAAAGTGTAAAGCATTTGCATTCTATTTAACGTCTGCTTGAAGATTTATTTAAGACAGGATCTTTCACTGAGCTTTAATGTGTTCTAAATTATTAAAAGGGATCAAGAAAAGGAAAAGCTGACTAGCTATATATCCTATTTGCGGATTGCTTTTTTAAAACTTATTATATTTGCAGTGAATACTTCAGTGGCAACTGCAAGTACCCTATGCTATAATTCAAGTCTAGAATGCTTTTTTAAAAGGGGGGAAAGGAAATTCTACAGACATCTGAGACTGAGTTTTGTTTACACAATGATAGAAATTTGCCTATGATAGATATCTTAGCATACACGTTTTTGAAACAACAGCAATTGCCAGAAATGGGCCCACATGCAAATGTGGTAGATTGTCCCAAAACTTCAGCACCTGTCCATTATCTTTCTGGATTAAACCTAGGACTTTCCTTTCCCTCCTATAATTTCTGCTTATTATTCTTTTCCTTTGAAAGTTTGTTTTCTACCTCGTTGCTTATTACACAGTAAAAAATATCATCTCTATGCCTGTTGATTGGGGCCTGTCCCTAGCAGCCTTGCTCGGCTCTGTGAAGTTCCCAAATTAGCGCCCAAAATCATCTCCATGCCCTCTTCAGTTTTTAGTTTTGTACATTAGCTCATTAAATATATGTCAGCATGCTGACTCAGAATTTAGGAACACCCAGTGGACTGAAATGTTTTAACCCAGAGCAGATAATGTAGCTCTTAGCCGGAGAGATTGATATCATGGTATATAGTTTATTAAGATTATAAAGAGATTAATAAAAATCCAAGTTGCTGAGCTTGTTGGGCTGTTTTGTTTTGTTTTTAATTTAGATAAATATCTGCCAAATTTGAGGGGGAGTTAATTATGGGGTTGTTTTTTGTTTTTGTTTTTGTTTTTGGCTTATGCATTGATAGTATGACTCAATAGAAACTTAGGTGTTTTTTTTTTAAATAGCTCATGTTTATAAATATAAACATTTGAGACTCGCTTTTTCTATTTTTGGCTTCTTTATTCTCCACCAATTTAGATTAAGTGACAAGTAAAGAGCCTTTGGAGAAATGAATAGGTTTTACCTCTAGGTATAAGTCAGTACACAAAGCGGTGATTTACTAATTAGTACTGTTGTCGCCTGAAACAAGTAATTTACCCCCACAATTGAATATAATATATTTACTAGTTGTTTCAGACATATTAAGTTAAAACTAGAGCCTCAGATAAAAAGGAAATTATCACATTAGATTATTTTGTTCCCAATATATATATATTACTGTATATGCTTTTCATAGGATTTTCTTTATGAATTAAAAAGATTATTTTATTTTGGAGTAATGGTGGAAGTTCAGGAATGAAATATGATTTATGTTCAATTAAAGGCAATGATTTGTGTATTATACTTGCATCTCTTTTTATATCTTACTTTTCATGAAAAAATGTGTTCTTTGTTTAGTTTTTTTTGGCTCATCAAAGTACAAAAGGGGCATATCACTATAAAAATTCTACAAAATTCTAAAAATCATGGACAAAGGGATTGCTCATTTTAAACAGACTATCTATTGCTGAAGAAGTATAGTTTTATTATTTTCAAATAATATGCAGCAATTAAAACTAGACTAACAGAAGGGTAACTAGAATAACTCTTTAAGTAACTTGCTTTAACAATTTACAACTAGGGGAAGTAAATAGGTCTTTGTAAAGGTCATGATGAACTTGAAAACTCTCAAGCAAATTAAAAGTTCTAAGGTAATCTTGTTTAAAATACTGTTATTTCCTTAGCAAGGGCTTTCTATAGGAAAAAACTAACTTCCGTTATCTTCCTTATCCTTGCATTATTGGTATGCGTCTTCTCCATTTGTCAAATGCATTGGGCCATGGTCATTCTCTCTTATTCAGCCCACCATCCCAGGAATTACATGGTGTGTATGTAATTCTGTGATTAAACATAGTTATTGCCCAGTCACAGTGGCCCCAAATAAAAATTAGCATTTAAGTTGGTAACAAAGCCAAAACTCCTTGCTTTACCAACACTGACTTTCAGAATGTACGTTTCCAGACACATTGATGTTTTTCATCTTTTTTCCATGCACAGAGCTTCTCCTCAATATTCACACTGCAGTAGGCAACCAATCGATGTGTTTCCCTCACATCAGTGTGTCTCTCTGTCTTTCCCTCTCTCTTCCATTCTCTCTAAAAAGCAATGGAAAAAACATCTTCGGGTGAGGATTAAAACAAAAAACAGTAAAGCAAATTCAGGGTCGGGGTACATGCCCTGACCAGAATCCAACCTGGGATCCTTCAGTACGAAAGCTGAGGGACACTCTATCCACTGAGCCAAATGGGCAGCTTTACTGTTTTTATTGCTTTTCCTCTGTTCCTTGTAAACCACACCCCTCTTTTTTGAGGACTTTTTCTCATTTTTTTATTAGAATGTGTAGGTAATTTTCTGAATTCTTGTATGTTTAAAGATGCCTTTCTTTTGCTCTCACAAATTACATGGTGTGTATGTAATTCTGTGATAATTTTCCTTCAATCTCCATAAACATTGTTCTGTTATTTTTTAGCCTTTCGTAGCACAGATGTTTTTCTGCCAATCTGCTTCTCTTTCTTATATAGGAAACCTTATTCTTTTTCTTTGCTTTGATTTGTGTTTAAGTCTAGCAGCCTCTAGGATTTTCTCTCTTTCTACAACCCAAGGGTTTCCACACCCTTTTACCTTCTAGAATTGCTCTTTTCCTTAATAAGTAAACAAAATGGCTCGGGGTCATACATATTGGTGGGGATTTCTTGGGGACTGAGGTTTTCTTGGTCCTCTAGCACATCCATGCTCTTGCTAGGTCCCCCATCACTAGCTCCATGTTTTGGGCCCTTTTAGTATTTCTCCTTAGACATTACCCTGTCTAAATATAGTTAGCTGTCTTTCATTCCCTCCCCAAGAATTACTAATATAAGCTACTTGCTTTTGCACATCATTTACTGATGGTTTTGTAAATGAGGGGGAAGGTCTGATTATAGCATAGGCAGGAAACAACTTCAAATTCAACGTCAGACATCATTGTCCACTAAAGGGAATTTATTACTGCCCCCGATGGACCATCTTTTCCTGCAGTGTTCTGGGAAGTCCTCTCTCCCTCTGAGAGCAGTCTCTTAATTGTCCAAAATTAATTAACTACCTCCACTGCTCTTTTCTCAAAAAAAAAAAAAAAAAAAAAAAAAAAAGCCCCACAAAAAAACTTGAAGTGATCTGCTGTGCAGTACATTGTTACTTCTGTGCATTGTTGAGATTGACTGTGAGAAATTCTTCTCCACCTCTTTTCGAAATTCAGGGTCCAGCTCCACTGTCCTTTCTATGAAAACTCCCTTAGTCATTATAACCCAAGGTCCTCTCGCCTTTACTGAATGTATCCTTCACATGGCACCTTTCCACCAGTCACGTTCCCCTGCCCCCATCTCCCCAGTCATCTTCTAAGGCAGATCATTGTCTTACTGCAAACTAATCTGTGACTCTTAGAGATAAGTGATTTGTCCAGGGTCACATGGTTGGTAATTGGGCAACAGAGTTTTTTTGTGATTGTTATTTAATATGTATGTGTAACATCATCTACAAATGGACTCAATTTAAAGATTTTATTTTATTTATATTTTAATTTTTTTTGGGGGGGGGGCTTTAATCCTCACTCGGGGATTTTTCCCCCCATTGATTTTAGAGATAGGGGAAGAAAAAGGGGAAGAGAGAAACATCAATGTGAGAGAGACCCAGGTGCATGCCCTTGACCAGGAATCAAACCCTAGACCCTTTGGTGTTCGGGCCGATTATTGAACCACTGAGTCACATCAACCAGGGCAAGGTGTTTTATTTTAAACTAGAGGCCCAGTGCATGAA